GAAACCCCGACATTAATTTAGAATCTTCATGTATTTCTACGATTGAACTTCAGGTAATACAGGGATATACCATCAAAATTAACCTTTACAATATAAATTAAAACATGAACGTTTAGACATCAGGTTCTCATCTTCAAGAAAACACACTACTCCACTCTAAATATCAGCTCGTTAATGTTTGGAAAATAATCGCGGTTTATAGTGAAGAACTACTCGTAAAGAAACCCAAATTACTGAAAGCATAAACAGCTGGTCGAAGTGTGTAATGAAGGAACCTGAACTCTTTCATCCCATAAAGACGCGTCCACATTACTCGTGCTCGTGCGTCAGAAGCTTACTGCTGCCGGAAATCAGGATCTGGAGCTGATATCTGTTCTGAAGAAATGCGAAGGCTTTGTATGCAAACCAGTTCGGGTGTCCACTTCGTCAGCTCCTGATCCTGCTTTTCCGGCAGCAGTAAGCTTCTGACGAGCACGAGTAATGTGGACGCGCCATAGACCGTTCTTAGGCAAGTTTCTTTTTCCCTCTTTTGTTTAAAATGTGAAGTTCTCAGAATATTGGTGTCATGAAAAATCTACATTTTGCTTTTCCCATTATTGCGAAAAATAATTAACCAGTTTTTCCCCCCTTGGCACTACAGCCCCAGTGGGCCTAGGCCTACCTCCATGAACTTCTCCGTTCACTTCGGCTTTTCTAGATCTTACACATTCGGTAAGACTCCTTGGGCGGGTGATCAGCTCGTCGCAAGGCCTCTACCTGTACACAAACACAGAAAAACGCACACACACAAACTAAACATCCATGCCATGAGTGGGATTCGAACCCACGATCCCGGTTTCCAAGCGAGCGAAGACAGTACATGCCTTAGACCGCTCAGCTACCGTGACCAGTCAATTAACGAGTTTACAAACTCATAAACACACCTACTCACTACATTTACGAAACACTGTTTCATATTGGCTATTATTTGTTATGAAAGTTATGTACCCGTACACAGTGAAGTAGTGCGGTGTAATTCCAAAAAAGACCACCCCATCAGAAGAACGGACTACGTTTTATTGTAATGCAGCCTTATATTTAGAGACCACGCCCATCCCCACCACTGACCATTACTGACCTCTACCAACACTTCCCCCCTAGAGCAGCATCTCAGAACGGGAATTCCCCTCGCCTTCATCTGAGCACAGTGCCACCCCTCCCCCCGCAGGCCTATGCGTTGTAGCGATCTCGGCCGAGCATTTCAATGTACGGCTTCATTTATTTATTTATTAACACCCTGAAGCCACTTACTGCAACCGCTGTTCTTGTAAAGTAATATTACATGCAATATAGTCATGTAATACATATGTATGGTGCTTATACTTATATACTACCCGAATTTCGTAAGTAGCCGGAATGACTCAGCTGGTATAGAGAAGGGCTTGACGGCAAGGGTTCGATTCCCGGGTAGAGTAAGACATTCTTCTCGTTTCTATGGCGTCTAGATAGGCTCTGGAGCCCAGCCAGCCCCTATCCAATAGGTACCGTGATGTATTTTCCCATAAGCAAAGCCGCAGGGGCGTAAAGCTGACAGCTCACCTCCATCTACTGCCGAGGTCCAGAATGAAGAAGCTATGCATCCGCTCCCACATACAACTTCAAGGGGTTGTCCTCAATTACACTAGAAGTCCGATTATCTGAAATAATTAGTGCCAAATGTGGTTCGGATAATCGAAAATTCGGATATTTGGATAAAATTCCTATCCACGAAAAAACACTGTTATAACACTGTTATAATGTACTGTACTGTAACAGGCCGCGGAGGCCCATAGGGTTTTGAGACCTTGAAGCTCTCACAGTTTCTAGACAACTGGCTCATAGATGGCGGTGAGGTTGTCAACCTTACGCACCGGCGGCTCTTTACCCCCAGGAAGATTCCTGGTACTAATTTCTACTAGAGGCCGAGTCGACTCCAGCGCCATAGTGGGGCTGGGAGGATTAGGTAAATTAAAAACAAAATTCACCTCATCGGAACTAGAACCCGCGACCTTCCGGTTTGTAGCACAGTGTCGTAACTAACTACGTTACCGCGTGCCTCAGACTAAAAAACTTTTAAAACAGGTGAAACATGAAAAATGAATAAATTTAATTATATATTAACATTTTCAAACACTTTATATGTAAAAGTCCAACAGTGACGTTTCTTTAGCAGATGAAACTCCGTTCACAGCCGATAATTCTCGCAAGTAAAACGGCCACTTGGGCTCAATCACCGAGTGGAGACAAGAGTTCGTATCCCTTGTTTACGATGATTCGATTATTTGGCAATTCGGATAATCAGTCTCCTACTGTATTTATGCAGATGGACAACTCTATATTTCGTCTTTTTTTTTTCTTGGCACTACAGCCCCAGTGGGCCTAGGTCTACCTCCATGAACTTCTCCGTTTCACTTCTGTTTTTTTTTCTACATCTTAGACATACGGTAGGACTCCTTGGGCGGGTGATCAGCTCGTCGCAAGGCCTCTACCTGTATACAAACACAGAAAAACGCACACAAACATCCATGCCCTGAGTGGGATTCGAACCCACGATCCCGGCTTCCGAGCGAGCGAAGACAGTGCACGCCTTAGGCCACTCGGCTACCGTGACCGGCCATATTTCGTCTTTACTAACCAAAATTCTTATCAACCCTCTCCCCTAACCATCCACCTCCCATTCAGAGACCACCCTCATAAAAGCCCACATGTGGTGGTCTTCTTAGAGAAGTTTCAGTGTAAGTAACGTAAATTCCTTCTAGAAATGTCACTTCTAATATCCGACACGTGTCAGAGCTAGAGGTTTACACCTACTGCTGCTTCTGTGGACAGGTTCTTGGCGGTAGCAGCGTTCTAAACGGAATGATGTACATACGGGGTCATGCAAGGGACTACAACGCCTGGGCAGAAGCCGGCAACACTGGATGGAGCTACCAAGAAGTTCTGCCCTATTTCATCAAATCAGAGGACAACCGGCAGGTCGCAGAGATGGACCGTGGATTCCACGGGGTCGGAGGCCTCCTCAGCGTCGACCAGTTCCCTCACCGCCCACCGCTAGCAGAAGCTCTCCTTGAGGCGGGGCAGGAATTGGGTTACCCTTCGGACGTTGACCTCAACGGCAGGAGCTATACCGGCTTTGTCATCGCTCAGACCACTTCAAGGTCACTGTTCCGAACGACTGACATTGTTTTCTAGTCATTACGTTCGCCAGATTGCCAAGGATCCTGGTGGAATACTGATCACTGGTGGTGAAATTTGCGTCTTCAGCTGCTCGTCTTACATTCTTAACTGACAATGGAAATGAACCGGAATCGATCAATCGATACACTGTACAGCCGAGGAACCGGGGTTCGATTTCCAGCAGTATCAAGAGATTTTTCTCTCGTACACAATTCCAGGGGTGGGATTTGTTAGTGTAACTGGTTTAGGGACTATGCTACATCCATAATGTCGCGGGTTCGATTCTCGATTAGGTTATGGAATGTTCAATTGGTCTAATCCTCCCAGCTGCACTATGGCCCTGGCGTCAACTCAACCTCCAACAAAAATGGGTACCAAGAATTTTCCTGGGGGTAAAGGGCGGCCGGCGTGTAGAGCTGAAAACCTCACCGTCATCTGAGAGCCGATTGTCTATAAAATTGTGGGAGCCTCGACGTCCCACAACCGTAAGAGCCTCCACGACGGGTCCAGGGATAGCTTTACCTTTTCTTTTTTGCCTTTAACGCAACTTCTAGACCCTCTCCAGCTAGCCTCTTACCCAGCCCAGTTGTTACCGGGACCTCTGTTTCCTTGCGTAAAGTGTTCGGGACACTCTCTTTACTAAAATTCTGTACTAATTTTTCACATCCCCCATTGCATGCCAAATACACAGTTCATTTCTTAATAGTAATATTTGACGAGGAGGGTTCATATAAATTGTAAAGTTCCTCTTTGTGTAATTTTCTCCATTATCCTGTTGTGGTACGACTTTTCTCTGTGATTAAAATATTTTATAATTGTGTTTGTTTATATCTTGTTTGCTACATTCTATCATCGGCCACATGACGTACTGCTAAAATCTTACATAAGGATTTTGTATTAATTCATTTTAGGTTTTAACAACGTTTCAACAAAACTTTGTTCCATTATCAACAACAGTCAATATTAATTTAATTTTATTTTCTCTTATTGCTAGTGGGATGGGACTAAGTCCCTTGTACTGCAGCCGCTTCTGGCCTACTGTACCAGCCCCAGATGAAAAGTGACGGTGATTGTAGAGCAATTGGTGGAATGAAGATTGGCAGGGGAAACCGAAGTACTCAGAGAAAACCTGCCCCAGCGCCACTTTGTCCACCACAAATCCCACTTGACCAGACAGGGGATCGAACCCGGGCCGCCGCGGTGGGAAGCAATCGACTAACCGCTTGAGCTGTGGCGCGGACTTAATTTTATTTTAGTGACGTATTTACGAAATCCGGACCATTACTTCCTTTTCGCGCAATAATTATACGTTCTCCAACAATACAAAACAGAAATGAGCGTCAGTTGTCCGTACTGTTATGTTACAGATGCAAATCAATTGTTCCAATGTCATTTACAGTACACTGTCAGAATATATTTGCCTTGGTATTTCGTCACAACTTCACTACATTCAAAAACTTATCACTAGAGTGACTGAAGAGAAAAATCTCTTATCCCCACGTCTGATAAAACCCCGAATTCTCGGTCGACCAGCCAGCAACTGTACCGACTGAGCAATTCCGGCTATATGTAGATGTGTGTGTTTATGCCTGCTTCTTGCGATGGTCTGATTCTGGGAGAAATTATTATTTTGTATTTGAGTTTCAAGTAAAGTATAACTTATTTATACGAGCAAAATTAAGTTATGGAAAAAATTAACAAATGCAATCGAAATTCTTTGAACAGTTTCGGGAATGAAATATATTGGCAGACGAACTGACAAACAAACATGTATGCGTTTGTCAGAAAAGAGCCATGAAAGCGAAATAAACAAGCATTTACGGTACATGTAGTGAAAATTGTCTTTCCTGGAAGTGACTGTGTTCCTTTCGTGTTTACAGGAACGGGTCGCGGATGAGCACTGCCAGGGCTTTCCTGCGTCCAGCCAGGGGTCGACCAAACCTCCACGTAATTCTGAACGCAACGGTCACAAAAATCCTCATGAACCCTAGAACGAAAACTGCCGAAGGCGTAGAATTCGTAAGGAACGGCAACAAGCAAACGGTCCGGGCCAGTAAGGAGGTGATCCTGGCCGCAGGAGCCATAAACTCGCCCCAGCTGCTACTGCTGTCAGGTATCGGACCCAAGCAGGATCTCAGCAGAGTCGGGGTTCCCCTAGTGCACGACCTCAGAGGCGTCGGTCAGAACCTGCACAATCACGTGGCCGTGTTCATCAACTTCGTACTGAATGAGAATGCCACAGTGGACCTTGACTGGGCAGCCGCCATGGACTATATGCTGCACAGGAGGGGTCCACTCGCCAGCACGGGGTTGTCGCAGGTACAGTGAAGCAAGAAGCAGCATCACCATACTGTCATGTCTGCAACTTCACGAGAATCGTCCTTACCTCCGTTTTCGTATAATTGACCACTCCGTCTTCCTTCAATTATTTCATTCTTACAGATGTATATTCTTTTCATCTCTTATCGATGTTCTGTATTTCAAATTCCTCTGTTTTTAACTCTTGTTCCTTTCTCTTATTACCTTTCCGTAACTTTTCTTATAATTTCGTTCTTTTTTCTTTCATACCAATCCCTCTGCTAATCAATTTCTCTACACTTGTTTATCTCATTCGTTATTTATTTTCATGTTGATGTGTCTGCTGGTTACTTTCTTCTCCCTTAACGCCATCTCTGCTCATTTACTTATTTATTCTGTGACTATCTTACCGCTTATTCTATCACCTGTGTTTCAGTTTTAAATTTTAATGAACTATACACATATAAAATCTGATGTTTTCACTGTGGTGATGATTGTTATAGTAATCTGTACGATGAAAACGAGTAGGCTGGTGCTTGGTTATCCCGCTTTTACTGTAGCATTTAGACCCGTTACTAGGCGGCGACCGACAAAATAGGCGGCTCTATAGCGGCCGTTGCTAGGCCGCGAACCGATGTTTTCTACGCTGTCCGTTCCGAGATGTTATAAGCGGGACAAGTTTGACGCTGCAGTGCAGTCAGTCAAAAGAAAAGGAGGTTGGTCTGAAATGGCCGCCAGCCTGGAAGTTAAGTCAGGGGAGTGGAGTGAGTTCGTTGGTGAGTAAGTTAGTTAGAGGACTACTGCGGTTCAGTCGTTGTGAGATGTTGCTGTTAGAAACTGGTTGGAAGCCGCTACCGAGCAACGGCTGGGGAAGACTGAGAAAACTTTATGTTTACTGCAGTTAAAGTGATCTTAGGAGTGTGTAACTCGGTGAGACTGTCGTAGTTACTTGTAGTTACGTTCTGTAAGTGTTGAAAATATGCGATCAATAATCCAATAACCGTCAGTAGTTACTCAATCACGTGACAGTACTGTGGTGTTTTAGGTTATGACAGGTATAGTTTAGTGGCTCGTCACCTGAATGTCTTCTAGCTAATGACACCGTACAGTCCGTTAGGAAGTTATTCTTCTGATATTGTGATATTCGGGGGGAATGACTGTGTAGTGGTTACAAGGACCCGTTCTGGGTAACGATTCTGTGTAGGCTGGCAATTGGTTACCGAAATAGCGTCTGGGTTATTATACCGTGCAGCTTTGGATGTGGTTATCGGGAGATTTTCTGGATCACAGCACCATCTAGGTCAGTTAAGTGTTTCTCTGAAAGTGTTCCGTGTTTACGACACCGTGTAATTTAGAATCTGGTTACATTTATTTGTATCAGATGATAACCAGATACCAGACTATACGGTGCTATAAGCCACGACACTAAAATATGAATTATATGAACTGTTCAAAAATCGAAACTACGTATTTCAAACTGTGCTGCTCGCTCTAATATAATGGGGAATCCTTCAGCACCGTGATTTATCGCCCTGCCCTTGTTTCGGCTGTATTCAGCTCAGAATAACGCGTCTGGGAATTCGTTATTCGAACAAAGGCAAAGCGACCGTTTATTGGCGCTAGGCACATCCCCGGCCTCATTCCACAAACAGACGAATAAAAATGCGTGTCACCAATGCATCCATCAATCAAGTAAATCCGTTTGCCAGGCTCATGCGATCAAAGCCCTTCGCTGCTTGTAATTGCCTCTCTGGCCCTGACAAATGCCGGGCTATTTCTGTGCCTATCTAAAGTATTATAAAGAGTCCATTTTCATTCGAGAGAACCTGGTGGCCATTCTACCCGTGTGTAACATAACTTAATTCTTTCCATAAATAACCTTATCTGGGACACAAAAAAAAATGTTTCCTTTTACACAATTGTCGTATACTTCAGAATAAACTCATTAAACGGCGTAGAAGAATTGGAGTAAAGCTCCATGCGTTCTTAACCTTTTCATTAAACGTAGGTGAATGGTGAGCTTCACACTCTAGTGATGATACCTGGTGGGATCAAGAGGGTAGGGCGTTGGGCGGGTGTCACTGCTGGTTTGAAAGTGGTGGCCCGAATAGAACCACGTATGTCCTTGCTGTGACACGAATATGGCTCGTTCTGTAGCCGGTCATTTAGTAACTGCGGTAAGCTAGCTCTCTGCAAGCTAGTTACAGGGCACGTACTTTGCGTATACGGAGCAGAAACCGTCTAGTTCATAGCATCGATCGTGCAGAGGGCTCTACTGGCCATCTGTCTCTTTAGAACTTGTTTCACCTCTACGTTATTGAAGGCAGGGCGTTCTATACTTGTGAGAAGTTTCTTTATTTCAAGTGGCAACGCTGAACTGAGCAAACAAGATGGCGTTCGGCATGATGAATCAGAAGGTCTAGATTTAACATTGTGTCCACGGCCGAGTGCGAATGTGGTGATGGGCTGCAAACGGAAGAACGTATCTTCTGGGACTGTAAACTGTACGAGGACCAACGGGCAACAGTGATGGACATTTTGTGTGAGAATAGCGAAAAAGGAATATCCAAAGCCGGTTCCAAAGCTCTTAAGGTTAGAGGAGAAAAAAAAAGATTTGTGCACGGCGTCTGTTACTTCCTGAAGAAAATTCCTAAATTCATTATAAAAAAATAATAAATGCACAAAATATTAATAATACAATCTTAGAGTTAAGACATCATCATCATCATCATCATCAGTAATCTGTCAAGACGACAGGTCCACAGTCTCTTTCAAAACAATTCCTCCACTTAATGCGATCTAGAGCTTTCTCCTTCAAATGACAGTATCCTCTTCTGTCCCCAAGGTCATCCAGCATCTTCTTACGTCTTCTTCCTCGTCTTCTTGTCACTTCTATCCGCCCATCTATCTTTCCTTCGATAGCTTCTTTTAGAAGGCAGTTTCTGCGTAAAACATGACCAATCCAATTAGCCTTCCGTTTTCTTATTTCATGTAGGATATTCCTCTGCTCACTGACTCTAATTAACACTTCTTCATTTCTCACATAATCGGTCCAACTGATCTTCTCCATTCTTCTCCAACACCACATTTCGAAACTTTCCAGATGTTTCTGATCTACTGCCCTAAGTGTCCATGTTTCAGCCCCATACAGAGCTATGCTCCAAATGTAGCATTTCACTAGTTTCTTCCTCAAATTTAAGTCCAATTTGCTGGTAAAAAGATTCTTCTTCTTGCTAAATGCAGCTTTTGCCATGGCAATCCTGGATTTAATTTCACAAGTACACCTTCCATCATCTGTTAACAAGCTACCCAAATATTTAAAACATTTCACATTCTCCACTTGTTTTTGGTCTATCTTTATTGTGACTGGGGTTGGTTGTCTCGAAATTTTCATTACTTTTGTTTTCTCCACATTCATTTCCATGCCATAGCACCTTCCAATTTCAATTAGTCTATCAATCATGCCCTGTAGCACAGTTTCTTCCTTAGCCATTAACACAAGGTCATCTGCATATTTCACAGTTTGAATAATTTGCCCTCCTACTTTGAAGTCACCGAGCCCATCCAGAGCTTCCTTGGTAAGGCATTCGCTGTACAAGTTGAACAGAATTGGTGATAAACAGCATCCTTGTCGAACTCCTCTTCCAATCTGCACACTTCCTGTCTCCCCCCTGTCCAGTCGTACTCTAACTTTCTGATCCATGTACAATTTGCTAATCAATCTTCTTTCATGCCAATCGATACCTGTTTCTTTCAGGATCTGCATTAATTTGGTCCAGTTTACCCGGTCAAATGCCTTCTGCCAGTCTATGAAGCAAACACACAGTTCTTCATCTATCTCCAAAGTTCGTTCCGCTATAATTCTCATCATCCCAATTGCATCCCTGGTTCCTTTTCCTCTTCTAAATCCAAACTGATCTTCTCCAAGTACATCCTCTATTTTCCTTTCAATTCTTCTTTTAAGTATCTTTGCTATTATCTTTGCTGTATGTGCAATAAGACTTATTGTGCGATGGTCGCTGCATTTTGTAGCTTTTGTCTTTTTCTTTAAGGCAATCATTGTAACTTCTGTAAAGTCCTTGGGCCACTCTCCACTTTCATATATGGTGTTCATTAGTTTTGTCAGTGTTTTCAAACCACCTTCTCCCAGTAACTTGAGCACATCTCCAGGTACATCATCATCTCCTGTAGCCTTTCCCTTCCTCATTTCCTTGATAGCCTTTTCCACAGAGTTAAGACATATATTCAAAAATCGCGGTGCGACTACTAAGATAGAATAAGATGTTATGTGTTTCTCTGTTATAGAGGGCCAAATGGGCAGTGCCTAGGCTTTTTGGTATACACATTTATTTCTTCAGAAAAAAAGTGTTTGTTATCAAAACCTCGTGTTCTTCTGTTGGCTCTTGTTCCTTGTCTTGCAGAGGGTAAACGACATTTTCGATAGTTTCTTGTTCGTCTAAAGCAGATTCTTCAAATATAGCTATGTTGAATCTGTATCATGAAAATTATGCACAGAAATAGCAATGGTATAAGTTTCAATTACCTTACTAATTATGTATATACATACGTTAAATATTGTATCATATACAGCCGTTGCTATGCGATGAGTGCGATATAGGCGAATAAACAAATGCCGTTTCTAGGCGACGACTCGGTAAACACGTCTCCGCTGCAATGAATACGCACGCAACAATGGAAGAATGGTGTTTACTATGTGGCCCGTGCCGAGAAATATAATCAGGACAGTTGAGATTTGAGTTCTGCAAGGGAGGCTGAGAACAGATGGTCAGTGGCGGAGTGTTAAACAGCGGGCAACAGCGTGACCACGGAACCTGAACAATCTCACTGTTAAGATTCATTACCAGGAAACGTCTAGTTAAAGCAGACTGAGAATACTGTGTGCGGTGATTTGTAAAGTGTGGAAATAAGCGATAGCACTGTAATTGCTTTTAAATGGGAATCGTGGGTATAAGTAGTCAATAAATAGAGTCACCAATTAAAATCCCATCTATAGCCACACACCCTAAATCGTGACAATATTAAAATGAAAGTAGGTGTGAAAAATTCTTCACATAAACTTTCTGTTTTAGCTAAGTCTGTTGTTGCCTGAAGCAAGACATTTTAGTTATAAAATGGGTTATCTAATTTTCTTTATATCCTAACAACGTGAGTTAAATGAAAAGTCAGAATTCGTAAGTTAATTTCAAAACAATTTTGTCAGCTGTTTTACTATGAAATGTCAGTGAATAAGCAATCCATGTCCATGGGGCGTCCACGGACTTCAGAATACTGAACTGGCTAGCGGCAAAACCTTAAGATGACTGTGAACATTTGGGGTCTCAAAGAATCAGGGAATTTGTTGTCGGATCTGACGATTGCACGACGCTGACGAAAAGAGCTACTTCCGGTATGTGACGCCTTACAGTCTGCACCGACATATCAGAGGAGCGTAGTCCCTAATTTGGCTCTGTTTGCTGATTGGTTCTTCCTGTTTGGCTTACTTAGATTGTTCTTTTATCCTGAAAATGGAGGCAGTATATTTCACCGAAAGTGCTCCAAGAAAACTATACAACACAACCTCCACACTCTTCAAGCAGTTTATTTATAAGCTGAATAGCACGCAATGGAAGAAACACCTGTTCCACAATGTTATGGTGGTTACTTGCTTACTTAATAACTTCAATTCTGTATTTAAGCATCTTGCTGCAAGCCATATTAAAACTTCTATGTATAACACAGTCCATCAATAATGCAACAAAATGTTCCTTTTTCTTCCACGTACACTTTAACACATGTTTCGGCTTTAGATGACCATCTTCAGGTGTCTTAATATATTTAAACTGCTACACTGCATTAATATGCGCTAAAATCACACGCTGTAATTCACTTAATAAAATAAAATAAAATCCATTTAAATTTTCATTTCTTTGGTGAAATTCTGTTCCACCTCACAACGGGTGTCGTCCATTTGTTTAGAACTCTGTATTTCTCTCCAGCAGATTGTTTTTATATTCGTTAGCCCGTTGTTGTGTTACGTCTGCAATCTGCCCCTTGTTTGTGGTTGTTCCCTCTAGCAGACTGCAGACGTAACACAACATCGGGCTGTGAGAGCATTAGTGTTAATCATAAGAATGTCTGGTTCTCATCTGAGACCATATGATGTGTTACGCATAATCTCTTGCAGGTAACAGCTAAGCTGAATTCTAAATATGCAGATGCCTCTGGAGACAATCCCGATGTTCAGCTGTTCTTCGGTGGTTACCTTGCAAACTGCGCCAAAACCGGAGTAATAGGCGAGCCTGAAGACCTTGATAATCCTGCATACAAGCGGCGGATAAGCGTGTCGCCAGTTGTCCTACATCCAAAGAGTCGCGGCTACCTCACTTTAAAGACTTCAGATCCGCTGGATCCTCCACTCATGTACGCCAATTACTTCTCCGATCCTGCTGACATGGCAACATTGCTTGATGCCATAAACATGACCTTGAAGCTCGGAAATACGCGAGTCCTGAAAGAACGCTTCGGGTTTGAACTTGATAAGACTCCTATACCATCCTGCATACAGAAATATCCTTTCGGTAGTGATGGGTATTGGGAGTGTTACGCTAGAACAGCTACAGGACCTGAGAATCACCAAGTTGGATCGTGTCGTATGGGACCTTCAAGTGATCCAATGGCTGTCGTAGATCCCGAACTCAGGGTATATGGCGTGAAGAACCTCAGAATAATGGACGCGTCCATCATACCAATGGTTGTGTCGGGAAATACAAATGCTCCGGTCATAATGATAGCTGAGAAAGGTTCAGATTTGGTCAAGAGAAGTTGGCTGCCAAATGACATCGGTAACAGGTTTGGTTTTGGAAATGAAGACCAGAAAGCCAACAGCAGTACTTTCGGACACACTGCAAATAAGCCCAGTCATCCTGGGGGGCACAAGAACGGTGTTTACCCAAATTGGGGCGGGTTTGGTGCCAACCATAGGCACGGAAGTTATGGAACAAATCAAGGACATATGAGTTCAGGTCATGGAGGAATTCAAGGATATGCGAGTGGGAGAGGCTACTATTCAACACAAGGTTTCCCCAGTATAGGGAATTATGATTCAAGCCAGATGCATACAGACTACCAGCAACAAGCACACAGTAACACGGCGCATTCTACCAACAGCGTCAATGGCGACGCGAGGTATCCGAATGCCGGAAGAGACGGATACAACACAATGCCTTATAAGAGGGACTACAGCACTGACTTGCCGCTTCGTACTTCCGAGAGATGCAGACATCAATCAGGAGGAAATTACAATAAAAGTGGCTGTAATTACAACAGTGGAGGGAATGTGTTTGATTTCAAATATAGTACAACACCTTCACCGCCGACACAGACTGGAAATAATTTGAATGGATACCACCAGAACTACTGGAACGTAAAGTGATATCAGTGAATCAAGGACATCGTTACGAAGACAGTGGCTTAAAAGACAATGCCGAATGTATGATATAAACTGCAATCAGTATTGGAATAAATAGTTTATTTCTATAACATTCTAAGATTTGTTAAACAAAAATTATTTTGTTTTAGATTTCAGGTTCCTGAGTAGCTGCACAAGTGGTGGCTTCTCAAGAGGGGCTCAGCTCCAAGATGTTAGTTACTTTGTAGAGGTCTCGTCACCAAAATGCAAGGCAAAATCATGACATAAAGATAGGTAACAGATATTTTGAAAATGTGGCACAGTTCAGATAGTTGGGAACGACTATAACAAATCAAAACCTGATTCAGGAGGAAATTAAGAGGAGATTGAACTTGGGTAATGCTTGGTACCATTCAGTCCAGAACCTTTTGTCTTCTCGTCTGCTGTCCAAAAACATAAAAAGTTAGAATATGCATAATTATAATTTTGCCTGTGGTTCTGTATGGGTGTGAAACTTGGCCTCTGACATTAAAGGAGGAACATAGAATGAGGGTGTTTGAGAACAGAGTGTTGAGAATATTTGGACCGAAGAGAGATGAAGTGACAGGAGGTTGGAGAAAACTGTACAATGAGGAGCTTCATGACTTGTACTTTTCTCCAAGTGTAATTAGAATGATCAAGTCAAGGAGGATGAGGTGGGCAGGGAATGTAACACGAAAGGGGAAAAGAGGAATGCATAAAATGCTGGGAAGTTCTTGAGTAGTTGCACAATTTGGGGTTCTCAAGAAGAGCTCAGCACCATGAGTGAGTGAGTGAGAGACTACAAGGGTAAGTAATGTGTAAAGGGTCCACTGTACATAAGCACATGTAGCATTCTTGTTCAAAATATCCTCACGTAATTTCTTCCAGTAATTCCCAAAACAGACCTCAAAATTTATTGCTTTATCCCATTAGTAGCTACAGTCCTTAATTTGAAGAAATTACAGTAAGTTTATGTGATCTCCAAGAGGTTTGAGAAAACTGCATAATGAGGAGCTTCATAACTTGTACTCTTCGTCAGATATAATTAGAATGATCAAGTGAAGGAGGATGAGATGGACAGCGCATGTAGGACGAATGGGTGCGAAGAGGAATGCATATAGGATATTGGTGGGAAAACCAGTAGGAAAGAGACCACTAGGAAGAGCAAGACGTAGGTGAGTGGATAACATTACAATGAATATTAGAGAGATAAGATGGGATGATATGGATTGGATTGATCTGGCTCAGGATAGGGATCAGTAGAGGGCTCTTGTGAACATGGTAATGAAATTTCGAGTTCCGTAAAATGTTGGGAATTTCTTCAATAGCTGCACAACTGGCAGCTTCTCAAGAAGGGCTCAGCACTATGAGTGAGTTAGGGAGCGAGGCTTATGTGATCTCCCTGTTGTCTTGTGTGCGTTTGCATGTCTGTGAATAATTTCCCATTAACGTTCGAATACCTGAACCCGTCTATATGAAACTATATGACACCTGAGCCCATCTCAACGGCGTACTTCATAAATCTCTCCCATCAGTGTGTGTGTGTGTGTGTCTGTCTATCCCTCCCACGGCAGCTCAGCAAAGTCTCAGTAAAATGTATCCCTCTCAGCAATCGCATTCCCGTGGCAACGAATACACGCTACAACAGAAGAACTTTTTAGTGTGTGTGTCTGTCTGCGGATCTCTCTGAGCACTCCCTGTCTTTGCTAGGCAACAACTACCTGAAAGCCGTTCTCTCAGAAACGATGAAATGTTGGAGGCGTCGTTTTCCATGCCGTCCATGTTGTATCAGAGGAAAGTATTCGATTAGTTCTTCCCAAATCTTCTTGTTTAAATTTATCAGAAATAATAGGAATATATCAATATATCCGTCTGAGTGGTTCCAAAGAAGGGTTCTGGACAAGAGTCTGACTTTCATCAAGTTCGGAATAAATGTTATGCTGCCAGACGTCACCTACCTCTGTGCTTTACAATATTCTGGCATTAATAATTCATGCATGGCAGTTACACAAACTTACAGTGCGGCTCATTATATGGTGCTAAAATTCTGTGTGCTGATAGATGCTCTGCAAGGTATGAAAGTTTTGCTGGGGATAAGTTCCTTTGTGAGATATAAGAAAGGACAAAACGGAGCCGCAAGGAATCGCGTGTATATACAGATCTTCATTCAATAATGATAAGTACAGAACTGTTGTATCTCTTGTGGAAGTGTATTCAAAGCTACATATAAACTCCGTATAAAGTAGAGGCAGCATTTTTGTATTAGCAACAGAAATATATTAGCATCTATTGCTAGCGGGGCCACTTCTGGCCTACTGTACCAGCCCCAGATGATAGGTGAGGGTGATTGTGGAGCAATTGGTGGAATGAAGATTGGCAGGGGAAACAGAAGTACTCGGAGAAAACCTGCCTCAGCGGCACTTTGACCACCACAAATCCCATTTGACCAGACCAGGGATCGAACCCGGGCCGCCGTGGTGGGAACCCAGCGACTAACAGCTTGAGCTATGGCGCGGCCTGTATTAGCAATAACAAACATATTAGAAATTAAAATGTATTAGCAATAACAAATATATATCATCAATTACAAATATATTAGGAATGATAAATATATTAGGAATAACAAATATATTATCAATTACAAATATATTAGTAATAGTAAATATATTAGCAATTACAAATATATTAGCAACTACAAATATGACGGTGTGAATCACTGGAGTTGAATCTGAGAAAAATTAGGTAGTTTAAATTTATATTAGAGTAAATTATCCATAAGCATTGGGTTATATGATCATTATGACTAATTCACAGCTAACTAACTACATGGATCTCGGTCCTTGAGAAGCGGCCAGTCTCTCAGCTACTCTAGAAATTCCCAACATTTCATGGAACCCTCCACTGGACCCGTCCTGAGCCAGACTAATCTAGTCCTATCACCTTTCTTGGTCTCCAAGATCCATTTAAATATCATCTTCCAACGAACGTCTAGGTATTCCTCATAGTCAATTGCCTTGCGGCTTTCTCACCAAACCCTATACGCATTCAACTCCTCTTCATGCGTGCTACATTACCTTCCCATTTCATCTTTCTTGTCTTGATCGCTTTAGTTAAACCTGGGAAAGAGTACAAGATATAAAGTTCCGCATTATGCATTTTTCTCCAACCATTTCAGGGGCAAGCGGTAGCGTAGTTGGTTGAGGCACCGTGCTACAAGCCGGAGGGTCGTGGGTTCCATTCCCGACGAGGTCACTGCATTTTTCACTTGACTTAATCCTTCCAGTCGCATTATGGCCGTGGGGTCGACTCAGTCTCTAACAGCAATGAGTACCAGGAATGTTCCTGGGAGGTAAAGGCAGATCGGCGCGTAAGGCTGACAGCCTCACCTCTATCTGTGAGTCGATTGTCTAGAAAATGTGGGAACCTCGACCTCTCACAACTCTATGGGCCTCTACGGCCTCTTTACAGGGATATCTTCACTTTTTATCTAACATTTCATCCCTATTTTGTCCAGATATTTCCCTTCAGCGTTTTGTTCTCAATTGCCTTCAGTCTTGTTTCCCTTGATACCCCACACCAAGTTGCACATCAATTCACATCTGCTTCGCTAAAATGATTTAATTATTATATTACAGTTCTTCGGGCCTTAGAATAGAAAGGAAATGTTCCAACGTGAGTAGGTACTGTACTAGTGTCCATCGAGATGCACAGATAAATGACTGTCAAGTTGCGAGATTTATTGTACAAAATTACCATTAATTCTAATGCTAAAGTCAGCAATGCGTTCGCGCCACTTGGCAAGACCGTATACAGCATACAGCTCTCCGCTCCTGGCTTTGAATAACTAACACCCCAAAAATTAAGTTTCCAGCTTGCCTCCGCAAAATTTGACGCTTGGCTCTTTGTACTTGCATTATTAAAACATAGCTAGAGGTCACTAAAACAAAATGGGGCTCCTTAAACACTTTACACACGCGCGTGCGCGGAACACAAAGAGCGTCTTGAGAAGGAGGGTGCCCGAGTATTGCAGACTCCCTGACTCTCACTTGTGATGCTGTCATCACGTGGAAATCCTTTCAACCGTGACACAAACCAGCCCGAGGTATTATTGGATTCCTAGAAGAGATGCATGTTTGTTGCTAGATTCACGCGTCGGCCCCTTGACTCCCAGTAAAGAGACCGTACAGAGCCGGCTGCACATGGGGGCAACGAAGTATACACTCTGACCCCCCCCCCCGGGAATCGCGTTAGTAACTGAACATATACGACAAGCTTATGAAACGTAACACAATTATAGAACATTTATACATTGTGCATGGCCATTAGGTGCAAGGCTTCATGAATGCCTTTAAACATTTGCCCTAATTCCCGCAGTTTGTTTATGTTGGTTCTGGTGTTCGGAGATAGGGACTAGCTCTAAGGATTGGGTCCAAACGAGTAGGATTTGTACCTGAGGACGGAGGCAAAGTCGTCTCCGAAAATTTGTTTTTAATAAAAATTGGATCTGGTTAGGGTCCAATAAACGTCAATAACTTTATTAAGATACAATCGTCAGAAACTTTTAAATTATGAGAAGTAAGATATGTTTTACTTTATCAAATTGTTCCAGTCTACAGAATTCGAACTGTTCTCTTTTCTTTCTGCTTCTCATGGCTTCCTCCTCCCCCGCACATTGCTTTTTCATCAAAACTTTCTATAAATGGCATTTCTGCTTTCCGCCGCGAGATGGCGAATCTTCACCTGGCTCGTGCTTTCATACAACTGAGTTGACCTGCCGATGGCTTGAAGGTAGGGGCTGACCTGGCGTCTGTGCCCATTTTCAGAGCGGGGCTGGTGTTGGACTTGGCACAAGTTGAATGGTAAATGACTCAGAGTAAAGCCAAGAGAAGATTGGAGGAGGATCCTCACCGTTAGGTGCTGTTTTGCATGGAAATGGGAGTTGCTGTGTTGTGGGCTCCATGGTCACCGCCCCTCCTCGATAAAAAGAAGCATGGGGTGGGTTAGCATGATATGTGTATCCGCAAAGGTAATAGGGGTGAAACTGCTAAGATAATGGAGCTATTACACAAAGACTGGGGATTCTTTACTGAAAGGAAATGTTTATTTCTGGGAAGTAAT